CCACTTCTTCAGTGTGAATTCGGTGCATATGTGCCAGACAATTTGAACCATCTGTTGCGCAAGGGTGAGCAACAGGAAGGCTGCTTAGGCACCTGGGATAACGCTGGCATTTTGAAGCACCTTGCTGAGTGACACAGCAGGTCAAATACCAATTGATCTTTAGACAGCTTGTCCCTCGGGAGCACAGATGCTAAAGCTGGAGCTTGCCAGAAGGGGTTGTTGCCAGACAGGAGTACCTCTGGACCTCTGAATGGTGAAGACAACTTCAGCAGCTCAGCCCTGAAAGGGAAGAGAGGGCAGCTGCTTATTGAGTATATTTTTGCCAGACATACAAATCAGGTACCAGAAGGTTGTGTCCAGGACAGAAGGCAAGCAGGAGCCGAAAGACTGAATTCTAGCGACGCTTCTGCATGCTATCACTTGTGCCACTGACTTCAGAAAGAATCCCAGAATGCCAGATTTTGTCCATCTGTTATTCTGCTTGTGTCTGTAGGGCTGGTACTGAAGAAGAATTTGGTTTGAAACCCAGTGGGAAGAGACTGGAGTGTGTGCATATTGCTGTAGACATTTGGGCCTGGGTCAAGGGTCAGAATTGAGGGCTGCAAGGCTGTCATGCTTCAAAGGGAGACGCTTTGGTGTCAGCTTGTGCTGCTCAACAGAAGCAAATGCCATCAGGAAATCTTCAGATGTGTGTGAAGACTTTCAGACCATGCTCTTTGAAATGCCATTACACAAGAGCTCTCAAGCAGTCAATGCAGCACAAAATAACCCAGGAGCTGCCAAATGTTGTAGCTAGCATTTCTCCAAATACAAATAACATTTTTTCCCCAGTTGAGAGCTAAAATATGAGTTACAAAGGATTTGATGATCAGTGAAATTAATGACACAATATTATTGATTTCAGCATTTCTTCAGGATATCACCCAAGGGATGAAATCGCCTGCTATTTTATTTGGCCAGGCTGTGAGCCAGGGCTCTCGGCGTGTGTGTTTGGTACATGGCTGCTGTGCTTTGCCGTGCCGGCAGCTTGCATTCGCACAGGGCATCAGGTGATTCCTGAGAGCACCTGGCTTGCTGCACACTGTGGCAGGGTGCGGACTTGTGTTGGGACTCTGTCCTGTTCCTCCTCCCTCCTCCCAGCATATAGCACTTGGAGGTGGGGGCAAAGTGATGAGGAAAGGGCTTAGGATAGAGCTTTATAAACATACAGAGAAAAATAATCCTCATCTAATTATTTGTTCATGTTCACCCCATCTCTGCACCCCTTTTTCCTTCCTCCTTCCCTGTACGCTCACCTTGCAGACGCAGAGAAAAGCCCATCAGTCTGAGCTGCCCTCACACTAACACCCGGGTCGGTGGCACACTCATGTGCTCGCTATCTGCGTCCTCTGCTCTTGTGTTGACTTAGGGAGAGTTTTTGCTTAGAGAGATGAATAAACTGCTGGTCAATACCCCAGAAAAGCAAAACAGACCCCTGTGAATACTGTGAAGGCAACAGATAAGAGATAAATAGTGTCTTAGAAAATCTGCATTTGTCTTCTTCGTAACACAGTGTGCATAGGGGGAGTACAGTAATAAAAAGCAAATGTAGGAGAAGGCATATTCAAATGAAAACAAATTTTTCTCTTCAGAAGGGTGAACTCTGGGATTTCAAGCATGAGGTGATTCTTGTAAAATCTCTATTGGAATATATTACTCTCCATTTGAGATTACAAAGAAGTACTTTACTGCAGTAACTAACTGGCTTTTGAGAGGAATTTATGATAAGAAGGAAAAAATGATTACTATTCTCAGCTCCAAAACAATGATGCCATTATATTAATGTTTTTTCATATTTAGTTGTTCCTAACGGGGAATGCAGGAGTTGATAGTCATGCGTCATGAGGTCCAGTCACCCAGCCACCACAATTCTGGACATCTTGATTTTTGCACAACTCCTTAATGGTCCACTGAAGTGACGAGCAAAAGTGGCTGTCCTCACTGGGAGGGGAGGAGAAGTGAGATTGCTGTGCTGGGCCATAGGATGGAGGAGGAGCTGCTGTGTAACTTTTGGCAAAACTTTTCTTGACTGGGAGAACCGAAAGAAAGAAAATTCTTGGTTGCAAGACATGGCTGTGGCTTCTGTCCTACTCTGTATGCTGGGTAGATCTTGGTGGAATGACCAACTGCCTCTGACATGAAACCCTAGACCAGAGGGAGACTGCAGGTATCAGAGATATTGGCAGGAGCAAATCTCAGTCCTTGTGACTGGGTTCAGAGATGATGCAGTCCTAGAGCTGCAGTATGGATAGGACACGTAAGCAATAGCATGCAAGGCTGGAAGCCTTTGGGTGGGTAAAGGTGACTGGAGACTGGAGTGTGGAGACTGGAAAGTACAGGATGTCTCTAGCAGTACAGAGGTGAGAGGGAATGGGTGATGGATCCTCTGTGCCAGGACACAGAGACTGCAGGAGCTTGTGTAGGGAGATTGGGCAGTAGTTGCAGCTTGCAGCCCTAATAAGAATAAAACATGACAACTTCGGGGGTAAAATGTTGTCTTAGGGATGCTGGGAGTGGTGAAGGTAAGATGTACAAGGCTGGAGTCATAGTAAAAGAAACGGTGATTAGAAATGTCTCTCCTTCAGTGTAGGCAGACAAAACAAATGTTCTAATCTTGTCCTTCTCACATTCCCAGCAGTGTTATGAACATCTGCTCCCATCCGGCCCGCAGGTGCACGATGCCGTCTGAACACAGGGCCGTTAGTGATACTGTTTGGGGTGGTTGGTTGGTTTTCCTTCCCCAGCCCTGTGCAGCAGCCAGCAGCCTCCCAAGCGGTTGAGCATCCTTCACCTCGCTGGCTGGGGTGCAGGGTGTCTCCCCGCGGCTGGGGGGCGGTGCTTCTGAGCCTCCGAACTGCTGAAAGTGCTTTTGGCCCCTGAGCCAGCACGGAGAGGCAGTTTACTATTCCCTGACTAGTATAAACCTTTCACGATCTCGCTAAGCGCTGTCACAGCATCCGCAGGATTCATCACGGTAGAGACAGTTACTGGGATATCCAGCAGCAGGAGTGCGACATGCCTGATTTTAAGAAACGAGCTTTCCATTAGAACAAATCCTAGATAGCTAAATGATTCATTACCAAAACGTATGGCTACGTTCTGCTTCTGCTAACTTTTGTACTCGTAGGTACAAAACTTCATTAGCACATTTGCTTGAGAAAATGTAAAAGTGCTCAGTATAAATGTCAAGGTAGTTGCTGTCCTGAATGAAAAATTCTAGCTCTTTTTTTCCTCTTGCATTTGAATCCTTTCTTGGCATATGAGAAAAATAATGAGAGTTGAACTTGGCAGCTGGCAATTTGTGCTTGACCTGTCATGTGCTGAGCATGATGGGAATAGGTTATGACAGATTTGTCATATTTAACAATGAGTTTCTCAGTGTCTTGATAGCACTGGGGGATGTGCTTCCATCACAGAACTTCCTGGAAGGGTAAAAAATGCTCATGCAAAATTAAGCACAATTAGAAGTCTCAGGTTTGACACTTCTCAAAATCTTGAACCTGGAGGCTATAAAAACCTGAGTTCTAAGTTTGGCAGCTATGCAGAAGGTTTGGTATATTCCCAATGGGATATTCCTTCTGCTAATGCCCGGAGAGTGAGTTTCCAGACATTTTGATCTATTATTTATTTTTATTTTGGGGGGACATTGCCCATCAACTGCTCCATTCACAGTAAGATTACCATTTCAGGAGTCTTGCTTGAAAGTGTGATTTTTGGCTGGCTGTTCTCTTCTGGTGGAAGGGAACAGGCAATAAATTGACTCTAAGAAGAAAGCGACTTAGGATGAAGGGCCAGAGAGATGCAGTGGGTGTGCTGGGAAACCCAAGATGCACTAGTGGAGCAGTTTCTGTTGCTGGACCCTACAACACCGATACCTCTTTATACTTCCTGAGTCTTATCTGTCAGACAATTCCTGCATTACTTTGTTTAGGGTTGATGCAGTTTGATATTAAACGATTCCACAGGAATAATGAGACCAAAGCAGTGAAGTTGTTAGGTTGTGCAGCTTTGGGAACATTGCTGTTAAATTCCCCTGCTTTCTCTCTCCCTCTTCAACCCCTAACATGTAAAAGAATCAGTGACAAGTTTTCTGATGATGAATATTTAAATATAACTTCCTGATTCCCTGTCTGGGTGTTATCTGTATATTAAAAGGAATCTAAATAATGAAGAATTCCACCTCAGTCAAGTTTAGGAGTGTTACTAATGGTTGTGAGGGTGAAAAGTGAATGTTAGAAATATGAAGCAACTGTAGTATGTATTTACTAAAGCTGTATACAAGGTAGCAGGTACATGTGATTTTTTTGGTGTGAAAGCTGTTTTTCAGTTTTTTTGGCAACCAAACCACAGAAATCTGTGTTTGCAAGTCTGTGAATCTTTAACGCTAAAAAGCTTTCTAATAACCAAAACTGTGATTTGATTTTTTTTTAAGTGGAACATTCTAACAAATCCTCAACTTTCCATAAAAATATAATATAGAGAGCAGCTTTTCACCACTCTTACGGTTTTGTCCTCCGTGATGAAAGCTGTACCGGAATGGGACTTGCTCCTCCAAATGGGTGAATCCTTTAGATTTTTATCTTCGCCTCCCTTTGCTTCTGCTACATCAGGTTGGTCTTTCTCATGTCCTTCATGTAAATATCTCTCAATCTGAAGTGAGCTCTGATTTTCTGCCTGCGTCTTGGCTAAAATCCTGTTCAGATGGTGTTGCACTGAAGCTTACGTGCAGACAAGAGAGAACTGGAGGATGTGGCTGCTTGATCATCCAGGGTCTTCAAGTTGATGGCCTAATGTGATTCATGTCAAGGCTGCATTTCTTGAAGAGCAATCATAGGCATGTTCATGCTCTCCGTGTCCCTGTCCTTTGCAACATGATATAATTGTTTTCTCTCCTTCTCCAGTCAATAATGGATACATATCTTTTCAAGCTCCTAATTAAAAATTCAAATTGTGCTTTTCAGGTCACAGAGCTCAATAATGTGAAGAATGTATTACGAATGCCAAAAAGCACAAAGAAGCATGCTGTTGGGATTTATTTTAGTGATGACACATCAAAAACCTTTGCTTGTGAGTCAGGTGGGTAAATGGCAACGCACATTAGAAAACATAAGACCATTAATTGTGGAATTGTAAATGTATTATACCTACACACAGATTTTCTGGGCCTTTATACAGAACTTGAGGCAGATGAGTGGTGCAAGGTGCTGCAGATGGAGTGTCTTGGAACACGAATTAATGACATTAGCCTTGGAGAGCCTGACCTGTTGGCATCTGGAGTAGAGAGGGAGCAGAGTGGTAGGTGCATAAATGTTGACCTTTTAAATCTTTATCTGCATTATTTTGAAGTCTTTTGGACTGTGCATATGAATATCAGAAATCACTTGGAGCAAACGTGTTTTTCCAAGACCTCCATCCACTTTTGTGGGGGTTGTTTTTATATGGGTTTTTTTTTGGCTTTTGTTTTTTTTTTTTAATTGCTACCGGAGATAATAAATAAGGTAACTAGAATTACTTTGGAATAACACTTTTCTTTCTCAGACAAGTTAGTTGCTTTTGGAGAGGGGCACTATCTTTTGTTGTATGTTTTCTTGTACGATGTTTGTCCAACATTTTCAGTCTGTGACTGAGGCTCTTTGGCAGCAGTGTAAAGCAAACAATAAATAACAGTAATTGCATGCAAAACCTGAGCCCGTGGCTACTTCACTTTCCTATTCAAATTAACTAATTACATGCACAAATGCAATTGCAATGTATTTATTCATGCACACAATTTTATTAATTGTTTGCAAATATCAGGATTATGATGGTGCAGTTCTCTTGGTATCTGACTGCACACACAAACGTTTGACATGGTGTGAGTGCAGCATTCTGACTGCCCCAAACATGGAGTTTACTGAGTTATCGGAAGGAACTGAGGCTTTATTTCTGAATTAGTTGTTCTAAGTGGAAATAAGATCTTGTATTAGAGATGGAAAATAGGATATTCCTTTAATGACTTGCATATTTAATGGGCAGGGATTTTAGACTAATCTTTTGTTTTTCTCCCAGAGAGATTCAATGTGTATTTGATGCCATCCCCTAATTTAGATGTGCATGGGGAATGTACCTTGCAGATAACATTTGAGAATATCTGTCTTTGGGACATCCAGAATCCCAGAGTAAAACTCATCTCTTGGCCATTAAGTGCCCTCCGACGCTACGGGCGGGACCCATCTTGGTTCACGTTTGAAGCGGGGAGGTAGGTGTGTGTTCGCTACATCGCGTTGCTTTCCTCAGAGGTGCTGGGTGGTGCTTGGGACCACTTCCAAAGGTTGTTGAAGGACATCAGAGCTTGTCTTCAGACAGAGGCTAGTCTGTACCTTCTGCTAAAAAAAAAATTTTAAATAATATTGAAACTAATATAAAAGCAAATAGAAAACCCTCTTAATCCCAGGTTGCATCTTGAATGGAAGCAGTTGCCAAATAAAAGTGCCTGAGGATGGGGGTGGGAGAGCTGTGCTATATCCCAGGGGACTGCAGCACGGAGGCTGCCAGCCAGATACTACTGTATAGGGTTGTTCTTCAATAAATCTACCTATGAGCCAGAGAACTGGATGGACAGATGTGGGAAGAAGGGGTGAACATCATTCCATAATTGGTACAGTGTGGGCCTTTGGGCACAGAGTTATGGGTTCTGTACGAGGAGAAGTGGGGTTTGAAGTTGGGAACAGTGAATGCCAAGTTGTTTCCCAAAAGGAAACTAAAATAGTGGAGAAGGGACTCCTGTTTCCCATTGTTTATATTCCTGTTTTCCATCTATTTGACAAATGGATTTATAAGAAATTTGAATGCAGTTCCTTGTTTTAGAGATGTTGTTCTGTATTGCTTCCTGTAGCTCAGTCTTAATGAGCTGAAGTCTTTGACTGCAGTTGGAGCACTTGTTTATTGAACTAAACTTTCAAATCCTTTCTGAGGGGTATGGGTCCATTACTTTAGATAAGCACATTGAAGAATTAGAGTAGTAAGAGAGAAACAGATCATACAGTTAACTTCTCTGGAAAGAGGAGAGGTATTTAAATGTCCATCCTCCATATTACTGCAGAATTTAGTCCTCTCGGGGACAGGGGAAAGGATACGTTTTTATTTAGCAGATTATGCATTAGCCATGATAGGACAATGTAATTGGGATGCTGAGGATTTGTATTTATTGTTTCAAGTGGAAGACAAAACTCTGCAAAACTCATTACGGGCAGTGTTTAAAGTCTGAAAGGGGAAGGCAAATTAATCCTACCTGGCACAGATTCTACATAGGGTCTAAATATTAAAAATCTGGGTCTTGTACGTGAACTCTCTAGAGCTTAAGCACTTATGATGGATCAGTGGTACTTCACCGAGTCCCTGTTCGGTGAGCGCAATACAAGTATGGGCGGAAATAGTAAGATTGTACCAGGGCTGCCAAGACCCATACACAAAGACTTTTAGATAACTTTGTTCCATATTTCAACAACCTTTGTTTTCTTACTGCTTGTGCAGTAGTGCTTCCAGAGCAGCATGGTAAAATTTTGCTTGTTCGTGCTGACCTGTAGACTGAAATCTCACCCTTAGATCGCATCTGTTCTTGCTTTGGCAGGATGTGTGACACAGGAGAAGGACTATTCATCTTTCAGACCAGAGATGGGGAAGCAATCTATCAGAAGGTTCACTCGGCTGCTTTGGCCATAGCAGAACAACATGAGCGCTTGCTGCAGAGTGTGAAAAATTCAATGGTATGGCTCCTCGATATGCTTGTTATTTCAAAGTGGGCACCAATGAACCATATGTTTCTTCAACGTGATTTTAAGTTTTGATTTGCAGATAGTAAGTGGTCTTATTATTGTGCTTATTAAATTCTGCTTGATTATAATATTTAGGGCAATACATATAACTGGGATTGCTTTTCAAGAGTCAAAACAACAGGGAAACTTATAGTCCTTGATTTTTGTGTTTGCAAAGCTATCAATAAGTGTGAATTAATACAGAGATGATAAGCTCCTGTCAGTGCACATTCTCATTAGGTTGCTTTGATTAATCAGCATCATGAGTTTGTCTGGAAGTATTTCTCATCAATCTATTTGCAAAATGTTGTGGCTCATGCTCAGTTTTCCATTTGCTAATTGATGTCAACACTCCAAGGATCATGTGGAAAGAGTCATATGGTTCAGATTAAACTGTAGGGGAGGACTAGATGTTTGTCTGATCTCCCAGTGGATGTCTGTTTTCCACAAGTGCTTTTTGTATCTAAAACTTCTTGTATGACACACGTGACTGGTGGGAAATACAGAAATTTAAGATGCAAAACTAGCATACAGATTGAGAAAAGATAGTGTGGGTTCTCCAGAAGCATTATGCCTAAGGAAGGCAGTTTATGGCACTTCGACCTAATGTGTCTCAGGATGCTATTAACTTTTGATATTTTTTTTTTTTGGTCATGAAGCCTGTTGAGTGAAAAGGAATGTTCTGTTTATCCAATACCACAATTGGTCTCTACACCCCAACTCACAGGTTGACTTTAACAACAAAATTAGTATCCTGAAGATAACAGGCTTTCTGGAATGTAGAAAATGCCCAGAATGGACAACTGTGGAACAGCCTGGCTATAAACATCATCTCTGTTCCAGGCAGTAGTAATTGGATTATGCTGCAACAAGACTTGTGTCTTTCTCTAACTGTAAACATAAGCGCTGCTGTTATTGCCATCCATGTCTAATCCTTTCAATAATTCTACTAAAATTTTGGTTTCAGGGATAAGTTGTAGTGATGAATTATCCCAGTATTAACCGGATGACCCAGCTGGGTTGAAACAAAAAATACCATTACTACTTGTGGAAACTGAAGAAAAGATGAGAGTGGATGTTGAGGGAATGGAGAAGGGAATAAATTGTCTTAAATACTTGTATTTCTTTTGTTCTTCCACTTTCTTGGACTTGAGACAGAATGGAAGCCAAATACATGATAGGAAAGTTATTTCTCTTATGAACATTCCAATGAGGAGGAGCAAATGAGGAGAGGAGGAGCAATAGAAAACTCTTTCCAAGTGTCCTGATGAACCCTGTGGACTGGATAACTACTTGCTTCAGCCAAGCACGCAGGCAAATGGGTAGTTCTGTCATCTGTAGAGCAGGTGGAACAGCTGAAACGGGAAAGTGAGGAAAATTCAAGTCTGTTTCTAGGTGATGTGGGTCATGCAATGTCTTTGCTTTCAACAGGAAAGAGACTAGTTAGTGTTTTTTATATGTATATGTATATATTTTTCACTATATATAGTGTGATATACCAGTTCTCAGTTGATGTTACTCTGTTAACATCTGGCTAGTGTCATTACAATGTGGTCCTGTCTGTGAAGCCTGTGAGAGAGCGCTTTGTCCGTGAGGATGAAGTATTAACTTGTGACAGTTTCTGCCCTGTGTCCACTTAGAGCACGTGCTTTTCCCACCAATTCCAAGTTCGCTAGGAAGAGCTTGACACTTTGCTGGCTTTCTTTCAAAAACGTTAGAACTAGCAGGTGAACTCTGCAGTCAGCTGCGCTGGTGTTTTTTCCTTTCCCAGTAAAGTATCATCTAACACCATCTTTGCTGGTTTTAACTTTTGTTTAAAACAAAAAACTTTATAGTTCTAGTTAGTGAAGGCAGTTTTGGTTCAAAAATATCGAAGATTATCTAAGTTGAGACAGATGGGTAGATGATACAAGTACTCAACAGTAACTAAATTAAGCAGATTTAAATTAACCTAGGATAAGTCAGTGTGCCTAGCTAACATTTGTAGCCCACCAGGATCAGAAGTGATTGAGTAACCTGTTGAGAACAGAACTTCATTTTCAGAAAACAGACAGAAGTTCAGTAACAACAGTGAATAGGCTTACAGGCGATTTCATATTTTATGGTTTTACATTTATGTAATAGCATCTTTAATAGATGATCTCTGATGCTGTACTGTAAAATTTCCGTCTTACAAGTGCCAATAGACTCAACAGATGCACAGTTGCTGTAGATTTCAATAGAGATCAGCTGCACAGCCTCTAAAAGCTTTTTCATGAACACTGTGTCCAACCACAACCCCTAAATCTAATTTTATAGGTCCTAGAGTGCTAAGTAGGGGGTAAGAACATATTCCTGGTGAACAGAAAGTCTTGTAATTTAGTAGCAGAATATAATTGTTTCAGATGGGTCCATATGCCCCTGAATAGGAGTTTCTCAAGTCTGTCACAGAAACGTTGTCTGCTTCTGAAACAGTCAGTAAGACGTGGCGGCTTCTCTGGGGTCCAAGAATAGTCACGTTTAGAAGTGTAGGCAGAGGATCTTTATATTGCTGTAGAACTCAGGCGGCTTATTTTGCTGATTACAAAATATTGGAAAGTATATTTTTGTTCAGATTGATTGATTTCCCCTGTATTTTTCTTCTGCTTTTGAACGCTTCAACAAGGAGTTCATTTTAGATACTTGCACTTCGTGCTCAGCTGTCTGTATTGTTTCTGTCTCCAAGAATTTTTTACCCTGTATAAATTTTCGTATTAGTGAAGCTTGAGATATTATTTACTAGAAGGGTAAATAAAAGTAGAAAGTAGGAGATACTGATGGTGAGAATTAAGTCTACACTGAAAAATTAAGTCTTCCATTTGCTCCTGTAATCCTGACCACTGCTACATCAGAGATGTGATTATCCAAGACCAAGGTGAAGATGGCATTAAGCTACCTGAGGGCTCCTGGAGCCTCTGAGGAAAAAAAAAAAAAAAAAAAAAAGGAGTTGAATATCCTATGCTGATAGAGCAAAATAAAGCTGCCAAGTACTGTTTACAGTGTGGGCTATAATGTGTCTGTCACCTCCCTAGCAGTCACTCTCTTTATATTACAGTATGTTGGTTCAGTTTGTGACTATAACTGGCTCTGGCTCTTGAAATGCATGTGGAAAATTGATGCGATAGTTGTTCCTCAGCTGGGAACCTCACCCTGACACTTACTGTTAATGTGCTGTTGCTTTCTGATGAGGTCTGAGCATATGCTGACCAGAATCTGTGACACTTCCACAGGTGGGTTTCATTTATTTTCCTTTGCAGTGAATTCAAAGATTTCACCTTTTTCTTTTTTTCAAAGGGAAGAAAGAGCTGGCTTTGCTTAGTGATGCATGAAGCCATTCTGGTCACTTGGTAACTCCTCTCATCCAATTTTTTCTTTCCTTTCACTTTTGCATTGCCAGACAATGGAAAGAGAATGTCTACTCAGGTTACATTTTCATGAGTATTCGGTTGCTGTGAAACCTGACGGGAGCAGTGCTGTGACTTGACTGCTGTCATTTATGCCTGTTCAGTTCAGCTTGCTTTAAAAAAGACATTACAACTTGACATCTCACTAAAGTAGTAACAGTGAACAGCTAAAGCTCAGTGCTTCATAGAAAGGCATTATCAGCCAGTTTACTGGCAGCCTCCCCGGACTCCTTCTCCCCTGTCCGCCGCTCAGGTGTGCACTTGATCCATCTGATGTGCGAGCTCATCTGGCCGGGCTGGAGCCTGCTGTTATCTCAGGCCATTTCCACAGAGATTCATTATTAGGAGTGGAAATGGTGCTCATTAACTTTTGAAAGAAGAGAATATTTAGTGTAAGATGGATAGTAGTCAAAACGGCAGCAATATGTTAGTGCCCTTTAATTTCTCAAGTTGTTTGTTGTTCTTTAATTTTGTTGTAATAAATTTGGCAAATGTTACTTAAGGAATTACCATTCTGATTGATTCTGATTTGATTACATGAATTTCTTTCACTAGAAAGAAAATCCCCTCAAAACCACAGTGAGTGCAGTCTTCTCCAACTGGAGATCCCAAGGTGAAGGTTTACCTAGTGCAAGTTTTTCTACAAAATCTTTGAAAATTGCATTGTCCAGCCTGAGGAGACCAGTGAAACCTGACAAATCTTCAGTCATCTTTCTTTTCTTTCCTTTTGGAGCCATGTTCACAGCTAGCTTAGGAGAATGTTGATGTGTGGGTGCTGTGGGTTTTAGGATGGGTTTTTTTGTTTGTTTGTGCAGGCATTTGGTTGGTTGGTCGTGTTTTTTTATAACAGGCAATGGTTTTGCCTCTAATGCAAGTTTTGCTGATTGTTAAGGTGGGATCCAAGAAAGCAAATACTTAATCTTTCCTCCGTGAACCCCCAGGACTTCTGGGAACCAACTGCACCCTGTTGTGCATTAACCCAGCAAACTACCTTAGTATAGCTCTGTACATCTCTCATCCAGGTGACAAGAGGTGGCACAGCAGCTCCCCAGCTGCTCTCCTCCATCGCTTTCCTCTGTGGATCTCTCTTAGCCACCGGAGCTGTGGGGTGGCTTTGTGTTGTCCCTCACCACTTCTCACATCCTTGCTGCTTTGGTTTAAGCATGATTTAACATAACTTGATCCCTGTCACATGTGCACGGAGCTGCATTTGAACTGCTCTGGGGATCCTGATCTGCTTTCAGGTTTCAGCATTCTCCTTCTCCCCTGGGCAGAAGAGGGCGAGAGGCTACAAATTAGGTGCTCTCCAGTTAACACATTATTTGTTGTATTAATGATATGAGGAGTCGCATGTCCCGCCTGGCGCTCTGCTCGCGGCCTTGGCTCATGCGTGTTCCAGCATATCAATTCTGACTGTTTTCGACCTGCTTGCGGTGCTGGGTGCTTCTGCGGCATAAAGCCAGGTCATTATCAAGTTATTTCTACTCTTTCTGTTGCCACAGAGATACAGTAGGTTAATTGAGAGAATGAAATCAATCATCATTAAAGCTGCCTTTGCTCACAGTCCAAGGTGTTTTGATGAAACGCTGTGTATTCTGGACATAACATACTAATTCTTATCTCCAGCTGTATGTTTTTTAATTTTTTCCCCTGCTGATTGAGTTCGGGGGGGGGGCACCCCTTCTGGCTCTTTTCCATGTCTTTTTAAAATCTTTCTCTAGCTGTGTATCTTATCGAATCTTTCTCTAGCTGTGTATCTTTTTTTTTTTTCTCCCAAGACATAGCCTGTTGCTTTTTCGCACTCCTCGTAACAGCCAGACTGTTGCTCAAACTGCCTTAGCTTGCTGTCCAACTCACCAATAGATGGAACCACAAAAAAAGTCTCTCCAGCCGGGAAATGCCATCCTCACAATGCTCTGCTGATTTTTATTCCCAGTTAAAGATCCATCGTTGTTTGTTTCTATGGTGCTGAGATGTGTGTGGTGACACTGCAAAGGGTGTGGGGCTTTAGTGAAGGAGCTGTAATAAATACGGTATGATGTGGGTGGAACCTTGCATGGTGCAGTGATTCACATCCAGCTGACGTGGAGGTGGGTGTTTTAACAGCAGGAGTGGATCTGGGTTTGGCTTTGTTTTACCTTCTCATCACAGGCATGGTGTCCCCCATACAGGGAGTGTGATGAAGGTTCATCACACCCCTAAATAATTTGGAAGTGGCTCTCTTCAGAGACAGCCAGCCCTCACCTCTGTTCTGTGCTTGCTTCACCTGTTTGTTTTTGCTCCAAAATATACTGGTCTTCTTGTAAAAGGTTCTTTCACCTCAGGTTTTGTGCAACTAAAATGTAAAAGATCACTCTTTTGTAAAAAGCTATCTTTATAAATTAGAAAAGTCAGCTGCAGTCTTGCTATGTTTGAACTGATGTTTTCCTGAGCTTTGGAAGGAGAATTTTCGCTGTACTGTGAAGCTTATGATAAATCCAATTATTTTTGTCAGCTTGCACATACATCTTCCTAAATTAATGGAAAAAATGCCTTAAAGTAGTCAGTTCTCATATGTTTTTGTATTACGCATAGTATAACTAACAAAGGGCTGCGATTATGTAAGAAAATATAGCTGAAGCCCCTGTATGGGTGGGGAAGTGTGAGATGGGGCTTCCAGCAATGCGCTGCAGCCCACGTGCTCTCCTCTCGGCATACCTGGGCATGCTGTTCATTTCAATAATTTAGCTGAAGGATGCAGTTATCTCCTGTGTCAAACTCCTGTGCCATCCAGCTGGCACATTCCTCAGCTGTAGGAGATGGGAAATGAATAGAAAATGCTTCCAAACTAACAAGAAAAACTTGTCTTCACCCATGTGAAACATCTCCAGTTCAGGTTCTCGATGTGCTGAGGCTTTATTTAGCTTTGGGAAGTTGCTTGCATAGCTGGGAAGGCCCTCGGATGGCTTTCCTGCCAAAGGGGGAGCATATCGGCACTTTCCTATCTTCCACTGATCCCCGGTTTCTGTTTCAGCTGCTTGAGTTGAAGCTCCCCTCGGGGGAAGCAGTGCTAGCCCAGGACCAGGGGAGCACGAAGGTGAGCTTTGGTGTGCAAAGCAGCGTGGCCTTCTAACCGGCGTGCTGTGTGCCCGTGGAGACTGACCCTGAGTTAGTTGCCCATGCTTGTGTAGGGTGGGCAGAGAGAGGGAGGGAGAGGCTGTGCTGGCAATATCGTTAGAAGCCCTTGCAGCCAGTGTTTGTGCTATTCTTGGAGGATTTGCAATAAACGTAACTGTCTTCTTCACGTGGGTTTACTGCTTTGCAGCTTCAGATGAAAATGAGCGAGCGAGCTGTGTCCCTCAGCACCATGGTGCCCTTGCCCCGCAGTGCCTACTGGCAGCACATCACGCGACAGCACAGCACTGGCCAGCTCTATGGCCTGCAAGGTAAGGGGCTGGGGGGGAAGGGGTCAACGCACAAGTCGGATAACGACACTGTTGAAGCATTTCAGTATCTCTCCACCTCACTGAAAGCTGATGTTTGGTCTAAGCCAGTTGCCACTGCTGTCTGGCTGATGAAGAGAAGGGCACACCCCACCTTAAGATGGACAACTTGGCAGAGGGGTTGCCATCAGGAGGCACTCTTCATCCCACTGGAGAGGGATCCTTGATTTGACAAGTCTTCTGACCATTTTTAGGTAAACAAGGAGAGGTTACTGTCACAGGATGACCAATTTACCAAGGCTGCCCAATCCTTCTGCTATCAAACTCTTTTAATGGCACCTGATTTTTTGCCAGACTTTGAACTATTTGGCTCCCCTCTGCTTTGGATGTCTGCCTCGTGCTAAGAATGATGCAGTCGTCATTATTCGTTTTGTGTACTTGTTAACATTCAGCCAAAACAACTACATCCTTGAAAACAGCTGAATTAGGGAAAGGAAAAGGAAATGGCCATGATAAGTAGTTCTAGAAAACTGTTGCTTGAACAGCTGCAGCGCTGCCACCGTGCATCGCAGTGAGGCCTGAAGAAGGACAGATGTCTTCTCCAAACCCCCTCCCTGTCCTCAGCCCCACGGGCAGCACAACTCCATCCTTCCCTGCCTGAAAACCTCCCTGGGCTGCAAAGAGGGCCGCATCGCTCCCTGGGGAGGTCTCGGCACCCGGTGGTCCCTCCGTGGCCACCACGGGACATCCCTCCGTGGTCACCAAGGGACATCTAGTGGCCACTGGGCGTGTGGGTGGGAAGGAAAGGGAAAGGGAAAGGAAAGGAAGCCCAACGCATCCGCAGGACCGATGGCTGGGAGGGTCTTCACAGTGGTGCGGACCTGAGCCATCTCTGCCCATGTATTTTGGAGCGTGTTTCAAAACTGAACTGCATTCTCCCGAGGTAAAGTGAAAACCGCAGTGCTTGCCACGCGCCGGTCTTGCTTTGCGCTGCTTTCCCCAGAGGCACCCCTGAGGCAGGAGCTGCCGGTGCTTGGTACCTCTGAGGAGCTGGTCCAGTGTTGGCATCTTACAGTCATCTGTGGTTTTAGAATTTTTTTTGTTGTTGTTGTTTAAAAAAAGCCCATTTATATCTTGAAACAGTCTTGCACTCTAAGCTACATGAGTTGGCTGAGTTAGTGTTTGGACAGAGGTGGTGATGAGTTGTGAAGTCAGGATTGGGGCGTTACTCAGAAAAGCCAGCAGAAACCAGCCAAAACACTGAATAAAAGTGGGACAGCCCAGAGTATTGAATGGAAGGAGGCAATACCTGCCACAACTTTATTTTCACAACATATGGAATAAAGGCTGAGCTTCATTAAACATGTGGATGATAAGGAGGGACTGAAGCAGTTTCCCTTCACCGTAGTGGTATTGGGAAGTGAAGCTCAGCTTGGCCATCAGGATATGGGCTGTTTCTCTGACACCCCTGAAGGTCAGGGCTGGTGTGTGCTGCACCAAGGGAGAGCCCTGCTCTTGGTGCCTCATCCTGCTGCAAAAAACCCACAGGTAAACCTGTGTTTAGCAGAAAACCTCAAGAGCTGGCAGGGCTTTCTATTGCTAACATGGAGACATCATTTACCAACATCAAGGATTCAGAAGTCACTAGACAGATATTTTAAAACTTTCTGGTTTGGAAAACTTTCAGAGTCTTTTTTTTTGTTTGTTTCTTTTTTCCCTCCTCTCAGATACTAGGAGTTTCTCAAGGAATAATGCATAAAAGATAATTTATTTTACTTTTTTTAATAAAGCCAGAGATTGTGGAGGTTATCACCTTGGGAACATGGACTATCACAAGCTGTGATTAATAGTTACAAGTGCTGGCAGCCCTGACATATATAGCTATGTTCCGTTCTGGTCCTCAGCAAAGTTTTCAGCAAATCATAAAAGCAATTTTTTCCTTTTTGCAACACTAGAGGGGGCAGGCAGCACATAAAACGCCCCAGCTAAACCCGGCAAATGTTTCCAAGGATGAATGAATAATGAAAGCAGCACTTACATGGCTGTTCAAATTTGTTCAATAAATTAGGGCCTGGGAAGATGACCTGCTGGTGGCAGCCTGTGGCACGCAAGAACAAGACTGCTTGCAGCACTCTGACACAATCGGTGCATTGGGCTTACTGTGCCTTACCATAGGGTCCTTTATTAAAACAATAATTCAGCATTGAGCTGGCACAAGATAAATAGACTGTATGGGCACAACACTTGTTTTATATTTAGAAAAATAGCTTCCTTGTTAAACCAGGGGGGGGGGGGAAAAAGGATTTTAGGGGATTGTTGTCATGAGAATGTAGTAAAAGTCTTTGTAAAATAAGTAAGCCATGCAGCCAGCATTGTAATTAGGAAAGACACTGAAGTCCTTGTCTCGTTCATCAGTCAGGGCTACTACTTCAGTGGTACCCCGAGCTCCTCTAGTTAGATTAGGCTGCCAAAATCTTGAAACACTTCAATTATTACTGGAGAAAGAAATATGAAATAATTGTTATACCAAGTTGTATAATTCCATATGTATGAAGTAGCATTTCAGTCCCTGAATGGTAGAGGCACCTGAAACCTTGTACACAAAAACTATCTTCCCCGAAGCTGGCATTTACAGCTTCTGAGTTGGCGCTTGTCCCCTTTTCTACTGTACAGAAAAGAATGGATGCTAATATTGTGAGATAAAGCGTATTTTTCATTTAAAATGCAAAGTCAGAGCTTTTAAAAGATTAATTTGCTTGTACAGCTCTCTGTTCTGGAGGAACTGGGATAGGAGATCGGAGTGGAGATGTTTCTGAGATGGAGCAGCAGATTAAGCAGGGACAGGTTTAATTAAAAGGCTGTAGTGTGTAGTTCATGCAGTCCTTTATAAAATGCAGAATAAGGTGCCTATGTCTTACTGAGTGTTGTTCTGTTTTTTGCATCTGACTCGGCAAAGATGTTTCTAGCCCAGTGAAGCTCCATCGCACAGACACTTTTCCAACCTACAGGTCAGACCATCGATAAAAGACTGTAACGAACTTTACAAACTCTGTCTTCTGACGAACTGCCCCAGTGGATGACAGTGATGATGATAAGCAAAGATGGAAACATGGAAGAGTTCAGGTTGGATGAAAAATTCTTGCAATACAAAGTTTCTTTTAAACTTTGCCAAAAGTAAAAACTATTCTGTAGATTTTGAGGAGGGGAACAAAACCAACAAACCCTCCAGTGTTTCTTTTGTATCTGACAACTGGACAGAGAAGAAATCACTCCCTAAATATTTCTAAATGTTTTTGTATGATAGGTATGTTGTAAATATATGAGACTTTTCTGTGGTAGTGTGGTTCCATTTTGTCTATTACAGCTGTGTGTTCACTGATGTCAGCTGTGTCACCCTTGTTTGTTGTAATGCTTCTCTTTAGTTATTTACGTTATTGTTCAGCCTAATCCTTGACCTTTGAAATGGTGGCCAGTTTTAAGCAGCTATTGGATACAGTTTTTCCTGTTTGAAGCCTGATGAAGACTTGATTGATTTATTTCAAAAGCACTCTCTCTATCTTCTATTTCCTGTATTTATTTCCATCTCTGTAAACGTTTAAAATAAAAAAAAGTCCCACTTAATTTGTTGTACAGTGCTTTTTGTTGTCACTATCAGCATGATGAACAGAGCTGTTGTGGAGCAGGGGGGGCACTGGAGGGGGGGGGGGAGGGGGAAAGCAGCACGACCGCTCATCGGGTGTCTGAGTGAAACAGAGCAGTGGGTTCCACAGGAATCTCACAGTGCCACAAACCATTTTGTGGCAGAAAGCAGATTTTTCTCTTTTGTGACAGCATCCATATTATGCACTACTTTCATAGGTTGGCACCAGCATCTTAACAGCAAACAGACTTCTCAAAAATAGCATGGTTGACTACTGTCTGCTATGCCAAATGGTCAGAAATGTACAACAGGTGCAGACAGAAAGCTATGATTACCCTGAATGCAAGTGAAGCACTGTGCTTAGCAAGGTGTAGTTAAATCATTTTGTTAACAAGCTCTGAGTAAGAGTGCTGTGTCAGGTTACAAGTCAGACTGATCATCTAACCATGTAATTCCTGCTCACCTCAGAACCTTAAGGACAAGGTCTTACTTTGATTGTGCCAGTGGGGAATAAGGTCTCTGCATATTTTTAATTGAAAAAATATGGGATGCAATTCTAATGATAACTGCGTTTGTCCAGGCATGTATAATGTTAGTAGCTACTTTTACAGCAGATATCCTGGAAGAAAAGTAAAACAATGCAATGGTCAGAGTATGTTTGTAGAGAATGAACCAGATTTGTTCACGTTTGTACAGAATGAGTTAACGCAGGCTGATTTTCTCATATGACAGAGGTAATGGCCTTTCAGTTTGAGTAAAAATAGCAGATATCTTAGGCTTGGCTTTTAATTCTAAATATGAAGTTTCAAAGCACACTGGGAGGCGATGATGTTGATCATGACCCACATCATAACTAGAAGTAGATTTCAAAACTATGCTCATAGTCGCAGGAGCTGTACTCAGAGATGCTGCCGGTGTTCAGTGCTGGAGGAGGAGGAGGATATCCAGAGCGGCATGCGGTTCTGCGTCTGGTTCCAGTCCTGGTTAATCACTTGATGGAGCAGTAGGGAGTGTGCTTATTAAAACTGCAGATCTCTAAAATGAGAAGGAAGGACACAGAAATACGAGATTAGAATACGAAATGATCTGGACAAATTGAAGAAATTCAATAGAGACAGGTGCTTCTAAGCAAGGCTAGTTGACTACACAAATACATAATGGGAAGAGAAGTGAGACAGCAGCCCTTAGAAAGGGATGTAAGGGTTATAGAACATTACAAGTGGAACATAAGGGAACAAGGCCTGTTGCTGCAAAACAACTAAATGTTATAAGGGAATGTAAAAGCATTTAGCTTTCAAGAGAGCTGAAGTAATTCTTCTGCTCTGCTTAAGGCTGGCAAGGTCTCAGCTGGAGTCCCGTACGGTGGCCGATCCCAAGCTAACGTGCGCAACTACTACAGATAGCTGTGCCCTGTTACAGTGCCGACACGTGGGGATAGTTCAGCACTTGAATGGCGCTGTGCACGGTGTAATGTCTTTACCTTCCTTTATTAAACAGACTTGCTCTCCAGGAATAAGGAAGGAGCAGTTGTTTCCAAGTCAGATCAGTCTTTCTGTATGTCAGTGTCCTGAAGTAACCAGTCACTCCGGCAAGATCTTTTTTAACTCGTTTGGGCTTAGGATCTGTATACCAGTTTAATGAAGACATTACCAATTGTGAAGTAAAACACAGGGAAAATGTAAGATACTGAGTTTTTACATCCGAAGTGTTGTACTGACAGAACTGGAGGTAAGAGGGGCTTTCAGGGAAGCAAACCAATGAATGTGGTGAAGGTAAATGTGTTTCTGAAGGAAAAAAATCAATATGCCATCATCGTTTAAGATACACCATAGTGCAAAGATAAGCTTAATTTATTGTAAATAAGGATTATGTTCCCTTTATTTCAAAGCTAGACTGCTAACATAAGTGATTGAAAGGCATGTTACGACTAATAGGTCTTTATCTTTCAGATTTACTTCTTCTAATATATTCCCTTTAGAGCTGACAGCATCTGTTGTTTTATCATGGATATGACAGTTCAGTAAATGCTTTTATTCACCTTTCACTCATGCAATGACTGATATAGTAAGACTATCTGTGGTTGAACAGTCCAATTACAAAGAAGACAAAAAAAGCCAATCTAACCTTGGCCTTTAAGTGAAGGGTCATTAAATCAGCTAGATCTGATATTATTCTCTCTAGTGAAACTGTCTGCGAAGGATGGAAAAAAGGCCTAACAGTAACTTTGCTTTGAATTACTGTGTGTGTATGACACAATATCAAGAAGTTGCTTTGTTTTAATTTGTAGTATCAACAGATTAAGTCACTTAATCTTGGCATCATTGCTGATTTGCATAGTTAGCAAGGTCATCAGCTGAAGGAAGCGAGAAGGTTTGCTACTCCTGTAATTACTGTGTTTACAGTGAGGGAAAGGTCTTCACTGTGCTTGGAGGTGGGGTGTTTAGACTATACAGCAGATTATGTGTATACACCACCGATACAGTGATGCCGTCATGTGTGACAGTTGGGTGCCGGTGGTTCCTGATAAGCTGGTGAAAACGGATGTAGAATTGCAGTGGAAATCCTTCGGGTACCTGAGCTACACTCTGTCTGAAGAGATGTACTTCAGAAAATGTGCTGCAAAGCCATTTGTAGAGCTGTGGGGCTCAGGGTTACCATGGGATTTGAGGATCAGTGTGTGACAAATCCTTGAGAACTATTTTTCTCCAGTCTCTGCCCTACACACAGGCCCTCCCCATTAACAGGACTTCACAATGGTTTTTTTTGGCCTTGTCCGGTATGTAAAGAGGAGGATAACAACTTTACAGACTGGTTTCAATTGTTCCACCAAATTCCAGCACGGCCTTTTATATGCTTCAACCTTGTTCTTTCTCGAATGTCCACAGATCTTCCTAGATAACTTTTTCAAAGGCACAAAAGTGTTCTGCAAAGTCATCCAAATGCGCAGGTCTTTGACTCTGTGTAACCTCTCCCATTCACACGGCTCTAAGTAACGCTGTGCAATTTCTCAGACGGCCGCTCCTCAAAGACCGGACAGAAACGCTATACCCGCCTGGTCCCTTTCATCCCACAAAAGACCAGTGGCCAACCTGCAGGTCATAATAGTGGAAATGGAAGAATATGTTTCAGGAGTAAAAGAAGAAGGGATCAGAAAAGAAAACATAGAGCTGCTTACCCCACTTTTCAAATCCATGCTAAGAAAACTGTTCTATCTTTTGAGCAGCTATGAACAGCAAACTGGTAATAGCACAGTGGGTGGATGGAGATGGTCCAGACTGCAGCAGAACTCGGTGGGTAATGATCTTAAAAGGCTAATCTTGGCATCAAGTACATTAGGGGGAAAAAAATCATAATATCAAGACTTCAGATTATATTTCTTTATCTTAGGTGTTCTTATTACAGGTAACAATGCAAATGTCATTGTCTAAAATAGCACAGAGGGCAATGTAACTACTATAAATCAGTGTGCTGCTGAGAGAAATGGGATGGCTGACATCCTCTCCATTTCCATTTTGTAGAGGGAGACGGAGTCACACAAGGGCTTCACAGAATTACAGAATCATAGAATGGTTTGGGTTAGAAGTGACCTTATAGATAATCTCATTCCAACCCTCCTGCCATGGGCAGGGACACCTTCCACTAGACCAAGTTGCTCAAAGCCCCATCCAACCCGGCCCTGAACACTGCCAGGACCCGGCCCTGAGCCCTGCCAGGGGGGGGGCAGCCACAGCTTCTCTGGGCAACCTGTGCCAGTGCCTCACCGCCCTCACAGTAAAGAATTTCTTTCTTATCTCTAATCTAATTTCCCCTCTTTCAGCTTGAAGCCATTATCCCTTGTCCTATCACTCCATGCCCTTGCAAAATTCCCTCTCCAGCTTTCCTGTAGGCCCCTTCAGGTACTGGAAGGCTGCTCTAAGTTCTCCCCAGAGCTTTCTCTTCTCCAGACTGAACGAATCCTACTCTTTCAGCCTTTCCTCATAGGAGAATTGCTCCAGCCCTCTGATCATTGTTGTGGCCTCCTCTGGCCCTGCTCCAACAGGTTCATATTTTTGCTGTGCTGAAGGCTCCAGAGCTGGATGCAGGACTCCAGGTGGGGTCTCACCAGAGTGGAGCAGAGGGGCAGAGTCCCTTCCCTCCACCTGCTGCCCACTCTGCTGAGGATGCAGCCCAGGATATGGTTGGTCTGCTGGGCTGCGAGCGCACACTGCTGGGTCATGCTGAGTTTCTCATCCACTAGCACCCCCAAGTCCTTCTCCTCAGGGCTACTCTTGATCCGTTCTCCACCCAGCCTGTATTTGTGCTTGGCATTGCCCTGACCCATGTGCAGGACCTTACACTTGGCCTTGTTGAACTTCACGAGGTTTGCACAGGCCCACCTCTCAAG